CTGTCTTGGTATTAGTTATATACCTACTCACTTGCCAAAGCAGGGGTTGTATTTCTTTGAACTGCTGTTCTCTGCTTACCTTAACTCACTGTCCCTACAGGGGTGAAGGTTATATTTAGAGAGTAGCTCCATGGTCTTTTCTGTAATGGATTTACTTCACCTGTATTCTGAGCCAAGGATGTAAAAGCTACCATCTTTTCTCAGAAGTTTGCTGTTTTATGGTAGCTTTCTGCGATACTACCTGCAGTCTTTTCCATTATTAGTTTGTCAAGAAAATGGCTCGGCACCTTTGACTTCTTTTAACAATGTTCTTACCTCACACCTCACTTGTTTTAAAAACACCACGTGTATTTTTGGTAAGTAGGCCTTTCTTCTACTGATTATGTAATTTTATGCCATAGAAAGCCACTGTCATATTCTAAGACAGTCTAGATGGGTTAGGCTTTAATTTTTCAATTGGCTCTTACCTCTTAGAAAAAGTAGCTCAACCAGGTTTATCAGAAGCCCATTACGATTTTTGAGGTTTCCTCCTGTATCTTAGAGTATTTTTGCCATTTATCAGACACACACTTACATGCCAGAGGACCAAATACATCCCTTGCGCTCTGACCGCGTGCTGATATTTTGAAGGGAGAGGATAAGGCAGCCGTCATACACGTAGCTTATAATGCCAAAGAAACTGCTCTTTTGGGCTCATTCCCATCACCTCATCGTGCTGTGAGAGGGCCTATGGATCTCTGGCCGGCTTTAACCAAAGCTAAGTATGTTATTTGGCGAGTTCTTACTGCACATCAAATAAAAAGTGTGATAGCAAATAATTGCCACTGTACATCAAACATAATTCTCCTAGAATTCAATCCTAGCAAAGTTTACTATTGAATTGAAAAAAAACCCCAAAGAATCAAATGAAAATGGTGATTGTAAGCGACAGTTATCTGGCAGATGGGAACTGGCCAGATGCCCGTTCGCTAATGCCTCCTGTGTTGGCTTATAGTCCTTGTGTAGTTTGTAACATGTATTTAGACGGCAGTAGGGATTGGAGGTTTGGAAGAGCATATACCAACAAGAGCATATATCCATATGTTACATGGAGTCCATCAAATGTATAAGGAAATTTTGGTAATTTTCTTACCACTTTAATAAGTGCCAGTTATTTCTGTTCAGAGTTGTCTGCAACAACAGGACCTCGTTCCTACCAATATCCATTTCACCTTAGTTCATCTTCAGTGCCCTCCCTGTTTCTTCCTGTGTGCTGAGGGAAAGCACCAGCATTTGACTTGATTCACATGGCCACCAAGCCATGGCTGCATTTTCCTTCTCGCCGCCTTCCAGTCTCCTTCCAGCTTTCTGCGTGTGTGTCCCAGTTCTTCCCTGTCTCCTTTCCCTTCCTTCCTCCCAGGCTCAGCATCTGCTTCCTAGACAATGTATTTATAGGCTGAAGTACTTTTGGTCTATGTTTGTACTCTGTCTCCCTGCACCCACACACACACCGCCACAGAAAGCATAAAATGCTAAGATAAAAAAGATCCCCAGAAAACAATCAGTAGGTTTGTGTAAAATCACAGCAGCTACTGAGATTTTTAATTATTCTTTGGTGTCTGATGTTACCGAGTATTTCATACTGCCTTGTTCTTGACCATCTTCTTCTTGTAACGTTCACCCTTGTTCTCAAATGAGTAAGGGCTGAAAACCTGGTGGGGGTTTGCACACAGGATAAATCACTTCTGGAACTCCAGCTTCTGAATTCTACTCGGCTTCTGTCTCTGGCCCTTGGTCACTTTCTGAAAAGGTTATTGTATATCAGATCACTACATAGAAAGAAATCTAATTTTCTACTTCTAGTTTTCCTTCCAAAGGAGGAGTAGTGCAGTTCCTTTCATGCACGGTTTCACGCGGTGTTCATAATTTTGTAGAAAAATTGAGAAATGAGTTGGAAGGCAGATGATTTGGCAACGTCTTTCTGTTCCTGATGGTCCATGTTGTGAACTGCAAAGTCTTTCCACAACTAGTGGAAGAACTGACGCTAGTGCTGGAGTTGGTGGGGATTGTTTTGAGCCAGTGATACTGCCTTAATCTCCTTCACTTACTTTGCTGGCCCACAGAGCTTCCTGATGGATGTGGTTTGTATTCCGTGGACAAGTCAGCAGACACAGCTCTACTAGATCTTAGCACTGCCCAGAGAATCTTTGCTGGAACCGTATTCTGTAATATTAAGTGACTCCTATCAGAAAGCTTCATGAAAACATGCAGTTCCATTTTGGAAGAAAAAACAGAGAAAAGAGTAATTTGGCAATGCAGTTCAATTCCTACTTTCTGGGGTTGATGATGAATTATATCTTGTAATGTAGTACCACATCAAAGGTGTGATTGAAGTGCAACATTTTGATTGAACCAAAACAGTTTATTTAAATGTACCTTCGCAAAAATTTCCATTCTTACTGAGATTGAAAGCAAGTCTCAAAATCTGAAAGATTCACGGGGAGAAACTTCTCTCATCTGCATTCCTGTATGAGTTTAAGGGTGTTACTGTACTGTTGAAGGCACGAACAGATGCTGGTGAGTCAGGTTCCCATCCAACTAAATCGAGCTGTTGCACACCATTCATTTGAACAAGACAAAACACCTTCATTAACCTCTGGCCTTGGATCACGGAATGTTGTGTATTAGAATAGATTCAGATATTCACTGCTGTTTGCTGTTCCCTGTCAGAGTGTGTGTAACACCTAAGTTAACCGGGGGCTTCTCATGGTAAAACTTCAAAAAGCAGTGACTGATGTTAGAGAAAAAGGGGATGTTGCCAGTTGTCTCTGGCCAAGTGAAGGTAAAATTACGTGTCCATGTAGTTTTAAGTCTCGTGTGTGGAAACTACAGTACTTTGTAGACGTTTTCATTGCTTATATTAACAGTTACACAATAACACAATCCCATGATTATGCAGCAGCTCATCAGAGCTTTTTACCTCGTTTTCCACTGTCTGATTTAATAGTCTGTAATTTCCTAGTCTCTGATTGGAATGTGTTAAGGCTGTTTAATGAAATACTTCAGTTTAGTTACACGTATATGAGATGTAACATGCAAAACTTGTGATTTCCTCACTGCATGAACTCTGCATGTTCTGGATTTCTTTCTGCCAGCCTTTTCTAACACTGCACCATTATTTCTTGCTCAACCATCCTACCACTTGGCTCGTGCTGACAATGCCATACAGCGTCCACAGTTTGGTCTGTGGTGTTTAAACGTAAGACAATGGAGCCATTGCTTATCTGCAGTCAAAACAGCTCTTCATTAAAATTTTTTGTTCTTTCCACAATCTTTGAGAAAAATAAGGCAATTCATACTATCTAGTGGCCTAGAATTACTCAGAAAAAGCCTTACTAGACCTTTATATCAATTTTTTTCTCCATCACTTCTTTCCTCGCTGGTTTCTTTTTGGTGCTTTTTCTCTAAATATACCAGGTTTGCACCAACTGAAAGAGATAGTGGAGCATAAAAAAATGAAAACACCACGATGCCAGTTCTTGCAGTACAGCATTAGAGACTGGCATTCTGCCTATGCTCCCCAGCATTTTCTTTTTGAAGAAGAATGTGAGCTCTCTCAGTACTTGGGGTTTAACATTCCAAGTGTATTTGCGTGTGTGAGTATGTTAATAATCTAGTCCATGTGTAGGAGTGTGCAGGAGAATTACAACTGTTGCTTGGACAAGAGAGCTGCTACAGCCTGGTTGCTTGGATTGCTTTTTACTTCAAACTTGGTTTTACAAATTGATTTTCTAAGGTTTGATTAGGAGTTGAATATAAGTTAAGTCCTTGCAAATGTACCAGTAAAATCTGTCTCCCATACCCGCTGAGCGTTAAACTCACAGAAATCTGTACCTGAGAGCAGTGCCACTCTGGTTGAACTTCATCAGTGTAAGGTTGAACTTTATCCAGCAATCATTATACAGTGCAAAAATCTAAACCTCTGTTCCTCAAAACACGAGTTTTTAAAAGTAGAAGTCAGTTTTCAAACTGAAGGCAGCTTTTCCATCTTGATAAAGTCTCTCCGACTTTGCCCCCCTGGAGTGACTGGTGTTAGTAATAACCATATCACCGTGCAGGAATTTCTTTACTCAACGCTCTTCTAGCATAACTCCCACCAACATTTAACAAATACCGAACTGTGGGCTTATTTCTTGACTCATAGATAAAGGAGAAACTGTTTCACATATTTTTGCCTTTGAGGCGTTTGCAAACACTGCTTGAGTTTGAATATTCTTACTAGAAATACATACTCTGCTCCTTGGTTTTAATTCTTTTGTTACTATTTAGCATTTATTAGTTAGTAGGTGTACTGTAATATCACCCAATGATCTAATTGAGGTTTGCTGTACTATAGATGCCTTAAGCATTTTATGAGCAAGGGATAGGCACAATCACAGCAGCCAGAGCTGAAAGACGCCGTGTTTAATTAGACCTGTGGTCTGTGTCCTGTGTAACCCGCGAGCTTTGCACCAGACAATCTTGATTATAGGCTTAGGGCTTAAATTCCTCTTTACTTAAATGTACACATGTGGCCAAAGCCAACACCAAGTGTTACAAAGATTCCTGAAAATTAGACGCTTAAAAGGTAAAGACCCCACGTGTATATGTCACATTAGAGCTTTGCTTGTAAACCAATAATCAGTTTCCTTTAATGAGAAGTTAAGAGTTGGGGTTTGGGTTTGTTTCGCTTTTTAAACAGCAGATCCTCAGTGAAGGAAAGAAGATTAGAAGCGTGATAGGAGAGTGGATTGATTTTGACACGTGTTTAATTTCCTCGTGACTACAGGAGTACACTGAAGCCAAAACAGTGTAAAGCAGCAATATAACGTCATGCCCTTTGGTCATAGAAAAGGAGGACAAACGGCCGTTGCGCCAGCTGAGGAACGACAGAATATACCTCTGTTACGGCTGTTCTTCTGACAGCTCTCGCCTTCCACTTCACCTTCCGTTTCAAGAGTTGTCTTTGTATCTCCCTCTAGCTCGTAAGCAGGAGATTATCAAGGTCACTGAGCAGTTGATTGAAGCCATCAACAATGGGGACTTTGAAGCTTACACGTAAGTTTTCTCGTTTCGGGGGAGTGAGGGGAGTTGGTGGTTTTGACACTGTATATGTAAATAAGCACATTATTATATGAGGGGGTGTGTTTATACTTGCGTACTGTTGAGGTTCATTCTCAGATGCCCCCAGGAAACACGTGTTCAGTGCTGCTTTGCCCCAGCTTTAGGCGAGTCTGGTTGCCAAGTTGAGAGGAGCAGCTGCTAGTGTACAAAAGGAGAGTCACGTTTGTGATTCAGAATCCGGAAAACAGTGGAACCCAATTTCAACAGAAATTTTGTACTGTATGTAGAGATTGATGTTAGCTAGAATCCCATTTGTGCGTCAGAGCGTGAAAGCCCACATGGAATTGAGGTTCCACCAGCCTCTACTGAGCACTGTGCAAGAATTTGCTGGAGGAAAGTGGACAGATTTACCTCTCAGCTTTTCTCTGCAAAGACACAGTTCTACCACTGCTTCTCTTGTCTTCCTACCTCAAAACCAAAGTTTAAAAAGTAGAGGAAAGCCCTACTCAGCGTTTTATTTGGTCTCCCGTGTTTCTCTGGGTGGATTCTACCCTCTTGCAGCTCAGTCCTCACAGTTCAACACTGACATGCCCTCATCCTGTTTAAAGACTTGCCAGAACTAACCTTTTGTTGAGTATGATCACATTAAAACATTTGTTGTACAAATGTCAAATGGAAACATTCCAAATTCTTATCTAAATTTTGTCATTTAAAAACAAAATAGATCTTGCTTAAATAATAGTGCAAGGCATAAAAAATATCCTTTGGATTGCACAAGAACCAATTTTCAGTCACAACTAAAAATTCCTCAGTGTAATACCATTGACCTGTGGGGCCTTCTTTGGCAGCTTTTTTTTTTGGTCAAAAGATGACTTATATGAAGTTTAGTTCACCTGAAGTGAGCTGCCAGATTTAGTGGTTCAGGTGAAAACCTGAAGTCCGTTACTTCTCCCCATTTAAGTTCTGTTCTTTTCCAGTGTGATGGCACAGGTAAGTAACATGTCCGGTGGGAATAAAGGAAACATTTTGAAAGTAATCTGTCCAAAGTTGTGTAATTGCATGTGGTCATTACAGAATTTCCTGTTTTCCACAGAAAAATCTGTGATCCAGGCCTTACATCTTTTGAACCCGAAGCTTTGGGTAATCTAGTAGAAGGGATGGACTTTCACCGGTTTTACTTTGAAAATGGTAAATACTTCTTTTTCTTCTCTGCGAATCTTCATCTGCCCTTGTGATTGTGTTGCTGCAGTCTAATTAGCTTTTTGGTTTGGGAGTTAATTGATTTGGGCAAGGAAAGCAGGTATTATTTTTTATTTTATTCAGAGTCCTGCTATGTGTGTTTTTCTGTCCCTGCTGCACTCGCTCATTCACACATCATAGGGCACCTTGGATAGCGAAGAAAAGGTTCAGGTATTTGGGCAGAGAAAGTCAACATGTATAAAAGAAAACCAAAACAAACCACAGATAAGTAATTCTCATAACTTTTTTTTTTTTTTGCCATTGGGCAAAAGATAAAATCATGCTGTGAGAATACTTAGAAGAAAGGGGTCCCTAAGTTGTGTGATTACAGTGATTGCAGCTAACAGTCAGCAGGGAGTATGTGATGCACTGGGGAAGACATCGCTGTCACTCAGTCTATACAGCTGAGGACCTGATCAGCTGGGTGTTTTCTTATCGGTGTGTATGTATATACACACATATGAACACATCAGTATATACACTCTACACATACATTACAATCATGTCAGCTGTAAGAAAGAAAAATTACCCACAGAGTGGATTCAGTAAAGTTTTGGAGGATCATGTGATGTAGGTAAGCATTTTATAGCAGACTTGACACCAAAAGAAATAAAATACTGTAAATGAAGATATCATTTTATCTAGTAATTTCTGAGCCGTGTCCAAGCATAAAATGGGATTATTATATTCCTGAATTCTCTTCTGTCTCCAAAACAGCATTTTCCATGTCTTTCCTTAAAATGTTTCCTTCAATTACCACTGCGTTTTCGTTTTCATAGATAGCAGCACTTAATAAAATATGTCACAGGAGACACTTAAAAGCTGAATTATTTAAAGTGAAAATATTAAGTACAAGTGTCATTAGACATCACAGACAGCAGTGAAACTGAGGTGTTGGCAAAACTCTATGTGGTGGTCCCTTCTTGTATGTACATGGATTAAATAGTATGTAATATCAAACGTTTGCTTGGTTTCCTTATAGGAACAGGGAAGACAGACTTTATGCTGTGACTGTGCTCATTTCTGCAATGTGCTGGAGCTAGTTGTCAGTTGTGACTATCAGTAAACAATAATTACTACTTTATATCTGCTAAGCGTGAGATATTTGTTTTATAAAACGGGGTGAGGTGAGTTATTTTGGCTTACATAGAGAAAACGTAATTAACCCTCTGCGTGTGTGTGTTTGTTTCCTAGCTTTATCCAAAAGTAATAAGCCAATCCACACCATTATCCTCAATCCTCACGTCCACCTCGTGGGTGACGATGCTGCTTGCATTGCATATATACGGCTCACACAGTACATGGATGGAAGTGGGATGCCAAAGACTATGCAGTCAGAGGAGACGCGGGTCTGGCACCGTCGCGACGGGAAGTGGCAGAACGTTCATTTTCACCGTTCAGGGTCACCAACAGTACCTATCAAGTAAGAAACAATCCAGACCACAAGCTGCGTAGGTCATACCAGATAGTCTAATAGCTGCTTTTGGCCTTAAAAACGATGAAACTGTCCTCTTGATAGCGTAATTTCTTGTGCTCATTTGTGCAGTGTGTATTATGTTCAGTAGTGTGCATAGAGTTTGGTGCAAATATTTTTTAAATCGTGCTTTTTTTGTTGTTGTTTCCAACTGTGTTGCCCCACTGACCCAACTCACACCCTGAACTGACAGCTTGAAGAGCAGAAAAATGTAGATAGAGCTTGAAACCAGTCACACAGAAAAGGATTGGAAAACCTGAAATAGAATTTCAGGAAAACCTGGGGCAGGGGGAAGAAAGCGCAGTAGGATACATGGAGCTGTTAGAGCTGACTGAAAAGTTTCAAGGAAAAGAAGTATCACTGTTCTGAAAAAAAGAAGTTTGAGTAGTATTTGTTGTGATTTCCAGCCACCTCTGCTTACTCAGGCCTAGTTATGTCCACTACAAGTTGGTTTTGAGCCATTTTACATGCTCACTTGGTAAATTAAGTCATACAGGTACCTATACCACTCGTACCTCTCCTCCCACGCTCTCGTTGCTTAACGCTGAACTGTCACTGTCTGGTAGGTACGACGTCTCTGTGGGTAGGCCTCAGACCTCTCCCATCACTGCTTTCCTCTTCCGTTCATTCGGGCGTCTGTTCTCCCACATGCAATAACACTTGATAAAATAAGGAACATGATAGAATGGAGTATTAATCAGTGGGAATTATTTTCTTTTTTAAGAAAAAAGTAATTCAATTACCTAATGATAACAATTCTATTTTATTTAAAAATGTGAAACCAATGGGAGCAGGGACCATGTTGTCCTTTGTTTCTCACATTCCAGCTGCACTGCCAGTGTTTAAACAGATAATATTGAAAGAGTAGTTACATTTTTTTGAAGTGGCAGCGTTATGTAGATTTTTGATGTTTTCATAAAGGAGAGTCTTGTCAGGGGGCCTGACTGGGGTATGTGTAGAGCCAGAAAGCATAAGGCCCAGGTGAAACAGTTTTCCTTGTCCCTGTGCACCCTGGACAGTGACTCTTTATGGCAGAATGACATGGATTGGACTAGAGAATTATTATTTAATCTCTTCCTTTGGGGTCTTTTTCCCCTTCTGTTTTTTGAGAAGGGTTTTTGCTTTTTGTTTCGGGGGGCATGTCAGGTTTTTTCAACTTAACCATATTTTAAAGGAAAGAAGCCTAAAGGGAAGAGGTATTTTATGACACTCATACACCAAAACCAGAAGGCAACAAAAAAGGCTATATTATTTTTATGGAAGATTATAGAATTTGCCCAATAATCCCCGTAATAATTCTTTCAGTCATACTTTATAGAGACGTACTGAATCGCTTCCGCAGCTGCCGCTTTCTGAGGTGCGAGGAGCCTCGGCACTGAGTTCACGTAACGCGCACACGTGTGATGGGCTGCTGGTCCTGTGACATGGGCTGCTCCTATGATCCCTAGCTAGAGGTAGTTTCTCTGGAATATAAAGGGCATGGAGGAGCTGCCACAGAGCAACTCCTGGCCCTTCAGACTGCGCATCTCAGGGGAATGCAGGCGTACGTTCAGAGCTGTGATTTGCCCCTCGGAAGCAGTGCCAGGATTTAGGACTTGTGGGATGACAGTTCTTTACGGCTGCTCATGCTCTCTGGTAAAGGTAAGGATCTCTGGGCTGCTAAGGATGGAAGGACAAGAAGCTGAGGGGTAATTTATTGGAGAGGGCAAGGTTGTGTCCGTGTCAGTGGGTGTTCAGACTCTGTGGGGTGAGACAGGAGATTTCAGGACTACAGGAGTGCATCCAAGTGGAAAAGGTCACGGAGGAGGGGTAGCGGCATGGCTGAGGCTTCAGGAGAGATGCTCTGAGATCTCTACATAGCCCTAGATATGCAGCCACTCTGCAGCACTGGCAGCAATATCACAGAAACCCCTTACCTAACCCTCATCTTGAGTTCAGAGGGGTTTTGTGGACGTGTTCATATCACCATTCAAAAACAGCATGGGTCTGATTGTTAGAAACCTTACTTTCCAGTCTTAAATTTAGTCATATTTAATGTACCCTTGGTTATTCTTATTTTGTCATTGTTCTCCTGTACTGGGGATGGGTGTGCAGCCATGAGCAGTTTTATATGAAACCCGATTAGATCACTTCCCACCTTCTATTTTCATAGGGTAAATAAACAATGCTAACACGGTTGGCTTTTTTTTTTTGGTAGGACCACTGTTTTCCTGGCTACCTTAATAGCTCTTTGCTGTATTTTTTTGGTTTGAGGTTGTCTTTTCATTAGCTTGTGTTCTTCTGAAATACTGCACACAGTTGCGGTCAGGGCTTTATTTAACTTCACAATGTCGTTCTTTTCCCTGCTGAGAATGCCACACCTGCTATGTCCTGGCATGCTTTTTTACACTTTGTCATCCACATCACATCAGCAGATCATCTAAGAGGGCCGTGTCTCAACTGTCATTTCCAAACGATGAGTATATAGAAACTTCTGCTGAGTGTGCAGCTTTGTACTTCCTATTATCACCTGTAACATTTCTGGATTACCCAGCCCTCAGGGTTATTTGGTTCTTCTTGCACAATACTCCTGTTTTCCTTTGCATTTATAGTGCCTTCCACCTAAGTGTAAGTATACTACGTGGAATTGGTCCTGCTGCTTGTGCTCAGGCCATTGGCAAATCTAGTGAGTGTCTTCTAGGCTGGCAGTTCCCCTTTCAGCCCAACCATTGCCATTTTTCTTTTAGTCATTTTTCATATTCCTTCTTTAATCCTCATCTTCTCAATTTAACTGGTAGATTCCCATGTAATAGCATGCCAGAACTCACCTTCTGTAACCCATCCTGGACATGAGCCGGCAGTGTGCGCTGGCAGCCCAGAAAGCCAACCACGTCCGGGGCTGTATCCAGAGCAGCGTGGCCAGCAGGTTGAGCGAGGTGATTCTGCCCCTCTGCTCTGCTCTGGTGAGACCCCACCTACAGTTCTGTGTCCATAAGAAAGATACAGACCAGTTGGAGCGAGTCCAGAGGAGGCCACGAAGATGCTCCGAGGGCTGGAGCCCCTCTGCTATGGGGACAGGCTGAGAGAGTTGGGCTTGTTCAGCCTGGAGAAGAGAAGGCTCCGGGGAGACCTTATAGCCCCTTCCAGTGCCTGAAGGGGCTACAAGGAAGCTGGGGGGGGCTTTTTACAAGGGCCTGTAGTGACAGGACAAGGGGTAACGGGTTTAAATTGAAAGTGGGGAGGTTTAGATTGGACATTGGGAAGAAGTTCTTCCTGGAGAGGGTGGTGAGGCACTGGCACAGGTTGCCCAGAGAAGCTGTGGATGCCCCATCCCTGGAAGTGTTCAAGGCCAGGCTGGATGAGGCTTTGAGCAACCTGGTCTAGTGGAAGGTGTCCCTGCCCATGGCAGGGGGGTTGGAACTAGATGGTCTTTAGGGTCCCTTCCAACCCAAACCATTCCATGATTCTGTGATCCTGACCATCTGTTAGACTGCCTTGGACATCACCTTTATTTTTCCCTGTCAGAGCAGCAGTGTACCAAATAACTCCATTTTGGAAAACGACAGAAGAAATTTATTTAATTATATTTAATTTATTTAATTATTACTAATACACAGTGGTTAAAAATGGCACTTCCATAATATAAAATTACTTTATACCTAATGTCTGAAGAAGAATTTCAAAGCAAATGAACTTGCAAAAGCAGTTGTAGCTGTGATCTGGCTTTGCAGACATAGTATCCTAGATTATGTCAAAATCGGTTTCTGCCAGCACAGTAGCTTATTTGTTTTCCGGGCCACAGTAAGAAGTGTGCATAAATCTAGGATACAACTGAGTTCTTTGGTAGCTTTAAGTGTGTGGAAATGCTTCTTTATGGCAGATAATTTATTTGAAAAAAGAATATGAGCAAAAATGTAGATTTAGTTTATAGATAGATTTTATTTGTAGGTTTTGTGGCGAGACAGACAAGACAAACCTTGGTTTCAGTCCTGCCCATCGTTTCTCTCTGGGTGTTAGGGCTGATGGCCGGATTTTTTTCTCTGTGTTCCATGTTCTGAAGAACTTGTGCTAACGTGTTTCTGCAGAACTGTGTCTGCACAGACGTAGAGAGTGGCTCTGCATGATGCAGGCAGTCGGGAGGCTGTTGGACCTAAAACTGACTCCCAAACTTAAATTCAGACCTGAGGCTCCCAGGCTTACGTTCCCTCACTTATCACACATTACACCTTCTTACACTTTCATGAATAAATACAAAACTGCAGGAAGACTTCAGTAAAGAGTTTGTTCTGTGTTTGTACAGCGCCTAGCACAGCGGGACCCCAGTCATGACTCCGGCCCCTAGACGCTACGGTAATTCAAATGATGTTGTACCCTAAGTTAGTTAACTACTTGCTTACACAGTCCTTTTCTTTCATTTTCTCTCTGCATACGGCTCTGGCATGTCTTGCATGTAAATGACATCCGGTTCGTCCTTGGTTCTTGGTTCAGTTTTTGTATGAGCATCTCGGTCCGTGGCAGTGTCTCTGATGTGCGTGCTGAGGAAGGAAGTTAAACCCAGAGACTGACATCTGAATTCTGCCCTCCCTCCTTTAAGAAATCAGTTAAGGCACTTTGGCTTCCTGCCTCAGTTTCCTTTTTTATTTTAACAGCCTCTCTGGCATGTTATAAAGCCAGAAAATGTCCGCAAAGTGGTTTGAAAAATAAAAGAATGCTTAGCCTGGGCGTGTGGGCTTTTGTTGTTCCCTTGGTTTTCTTCACATTACTGTGTTAAATGATCTGAAGAAGATTTTTGTTAACGGTGTTGGCTAACACTTGAGCATGTATTGTTATCTGCTGGTGATGTCATTTCAGTAATGGCAGTCTGTTCTTTTCTCTTCCCTCCTAGCTAAAAATATCAGCGGTGCCGCTCTTGCATTTCGTGTACCCAACGCACCTGGTTGATCACCATCTTGGCCATCCCGTTCTCTTCATGCATGTTTCTGAGTGCATGAAGTTGTGAAGGTTCTCCATGTGACACATTTGTGATGCACCATGTCGCTGTATATTCCATCTGTACACTGTTAACATTTCGATGAAGGTGATGTTCCTTGCAAATAGAGAATAACAAGGCATAAAACACAAAAAAATACGTGATGGACAGCAGTAGATACAGAGTACATTTGTCACTGTCTCCATTTATGCCAAGTTTTGAGAGACAACTTTAAAAATTATAATGTTTATTAAAAAAAAAATAGAAAAAAAAAAGAAAAAGTACATTTTACCCTCTTTTTTTAAGAACTGGTTTTTGACTCCTTTTCCCCCCAAGTCCCAGGATTTTGCTTTGGTTCTGGTAGGAATGGTTAGGATTTCCGCTGGCAGCTCCGTTGCTGTAAAACAGGTTTTCATTACAGCCTGTAGATGGACGAAATCCCTGATAAATGTGGAAGCGATAATATCCTGGCTTTGTACCAGCTGAAGCCTTCCTGGTGTATCAGTCTGTGTAAACTGGAAAGTCTCATCGTTCGCTGGCTCGGTCACTTCAGCTTTAACTGTCAGTGTTCTGGGGAGCCAGCGGCCTGTTTCCTTGGAGTCTTCACCTTTGCTTCCTTCCTATGCTCCATGAAAATTTCTCTTGGATGATTAAGGAGAGTTACAAATTGTAAGGAACCAAGTGATGACTGAGGGGCAGTTTTTGAGGATTAAAATGGAAGAAGAGAGGAAGATAGATTTTTATCGCTTTTAGGGTGTGCTGTAAATTTTTTTAAGGAGGCTTTAAAAAATAAGAAATTTTGGTCAAGCTATAGACCAGTTGTGTGGTTAATATACTCGAGAAATATTAGGCCTTAAAAGCTTAGTATGAGGAGTTTACTCACTTCACGCTGCTGCTGTTGCTTCTCTGGAGACGTGTTACGGATACGCCAGTTTTGTAACGAGACACTTGACCGCAGATCCGTTCCCCCCCACCCCTCCCCAGTCTGCTGTGGGTTTCTGCAAAGCCTCACGCAGCGCACGGCGTCGAGCACGACCACCTTGGCCGCCCGAG